AAAGACACATTGCTTCTAAAAAAAAAATCTATGAAAAAATTAGCTAATTTCATGAACTTACTGGATTTTCATCTTTAAGTTTCTCCATTTACCATCCACAGAGCGAGTAAAAGAATGAAAAAATAAAAGGAATAATGGGAATATATAAGACCGTATCGCTCTATGATTGTGCACATCACGAACTTAAATGTGGTGCGTTAAAGTTTTTTTGTTTCACTGCTACGCCTCCCCTACTCCTCCCTCCCAATTTCCTCAAAAAATGAGGCAAAAAAAACCGGAAAGAAAAGAGAGATTATCTATTACAAATATTTCCTTATTCCCCCTCACCATCTTACTTCGCTTTTTCTTCGTTTTTTCCCTTCTTCATATTTTCTCTTCAACCTTTACATCAGTAATTAATCACCTATCATACGTGCACCCAACATTGGTATGTAACCAAGGAATATAGTAATTTATAGCAAAAATCCAATGGAAGAGGCAGTAATGCAGCAAGAGCCTCCCTTACCCCTCTCCCTCCCAATTTCCTCAAAAAATGAGGCAAAAAACCGGAAAAAAAAGATTACCTATTACAAATATTTCCTTAGTCCCTTTCTCCCCATCTTACTTCGCTTTTTCTTCGTTTTCTTTCCCTTCTTCATATTTTCTCTTCAACCTTTATATTAGCAATTAATCACCTGTCATACATGGGCCCAACATTGGTATGTAGCCAAGGAATATAGCAATTTGTATCAAAAATCCAATGGATAAAGCAGTAATGCAGGAAGAGCCTCCCTTACCCCTCTCCCTCCCAATTTCCTCAAAAAATGAGGCAAAAAAATCGGAAAAAAGAGAGATTACCTATTACAAATATTTCCTCAGTTCCCTTTCCCCATCTTACTTCGCTTTTTCTTCGTTTCCTTCCCTTCTTCATATTTTCTCTTCAACCTTTATATTAGCAATTAATCACCTGTCATACGTGGGCCTAACTTTGGTATGAAGCCAAGGAATATCGCAATTTATATCAAAAATCCAGTGGATAAAGCAGTAATGCAGCAAGAATTTCCCTTACCCCCTTCCCTCCCAATTCCCTCAAAAAATGGGGCAGAAAAAACCGGAAAAAAAAAGAGATTACCTATTACAAATATTTCCTCAGTCCCCTTTCCTCATCTTACTTCGCTTTTTCTTCGTTTTCTTCCCTTCATATTTTTTCTTCAGCCTTTATTAGCAATTAATCACCTGTCATACGTGGGCCCAACATTGGTATGTAGCCAAGGAATATAACAATTTGTACCAAAAATCCAATAGATAAGGCAGTAATGCAGCAAGAGCCTCCTCTACCCCTCTCCCTCCCAATTTCCTCAAAAAATGAGGCAAAAAACAGGAAAAGAAAGAGATTACCTATTACAAATATTTCCTTAGTCCCCTATTTCCCATTTTACTTCGCTTTTTCTTC